GTTCAAGATCAGTGAAATTTATTGGCAAAGAAAAACCCAGAGCCGATCTTTAAACAGCAGATGTCACTGTCTGTTTACAGGTTTTAGCGAAGCGCAAGCTGAAAGTTTGACAATGTCACTGGTGGAAATTATCACATCTAGTGTCCTTAATGTGACTGACAGCACTGTTTCAAAAATCGATCAGGTGTGTAATTGACCTCTGGAGAGATTTATACCATCGCCTGCATTTAAATGTGAACATGGCATGATTGGTCATCAAACATTTGAAGTTTAGCAGACCGTAACACAAACTTTTGCACTCTGAAAGACTCTGAAAGTCTTGCTCCTGCCAGTAATATTTCATGGTTATACTAGAAGTAAACCACTTTTGAGAAAGGCGTATGCATATTGACACAGGTCAGGGTCAATTTCTCTGAAGAACTCTTCAATGTCCAATCTTTCTGCCATTTCGTGTGCTGAACTTTTAGTGCGAAAGTTAGCGTCACGGTCTGCTAAACTTCAAATGTTTGATGACCAATCATGCCACGTTTGACTCCCAATTACAGCATGTTTTGGCGTGATGTGTTCATGCTTAGATGCAAGTGACGGTAAATGCAAAAGTGAACAAGTTTACCTATCTATTAAATTTATGAATTAAATTAATAGGCTTTAATTTAAAGGTACAGAAACATCTTTGATGTACTTAGCACTTGATGGAAATTATATCTAAGAGAAATAAATTCGCTTTTTGAAAACGCTACATGCTCAAATGCTCAAACTTCACTTAAAAAAAAGACCTTGAAAAGTTTATCGACAACGGCATCAATAAATGGGTGAATTTTCCAATACATATTTTATTAATTGGAAGTGGATTTCGATGCGAACTTGAACAGTTTATTTCAGTACCAGCAGCATCGATAGTACCCCAGTGCCTAATTAATGTTTTGGTTTCAAAGAGAAAAGGAGAAATTAACAGGAAGAAAAACAGGCCTGACGTCGTGTCAAACTCGACTCATGACAAAAGATACACAATCTTGGCCCACGCAGTGCCTTAATTGCTTGTGCTAACGAAGCAACGTGGATCGAAAGACTTTTTTTATGAATGCAATACTTGTATCGGCTCGAAAAACAAGTGGCTAATGTGACACTTCGTTGATTTCTTTGTCCAGCAAAACAAAAGGTTTCTTTTGTTTAGTGTTGGACAAGAAGATGCCGCTAGGAAAAGTAGTTTTTTGCATACGCTATTTCTCAAAAACGAAGAGCAACCCAGCAAAAAAAACTACAGAGCAATGTTTCTCAGGTAAAACGAAGCCTGCATGCCAAAATTCGGCTATTTTTGAGCACTTTCAAAAATAGCCAAAAAACCTAGGGGACATTCTTGCCCG